GGAGGTTATTCTAATTCAAAAAAATAGAAACCCCCCAACGAGGAAGCATTTTTTCTTTTTGCCTCATCAAAGATTTCTATTCTCCAAAAACATCATCAAACGAATTTCCTTGTTTTGTTTTCCCTTGCGGCGTATGAGCGTTGGGTAAGGGGGATCAGATACTACTTACTGTCCTTTTTTGCTCCTTCCTCTTCGGATTTGAACCAGTTTCTTATTCGTTTATTACGCCGTTTTCTTCTCTCTCCCCCAAGTGGTATGTCTTCAAACTTAGTACTTTACCCAGGAAAGGAATATGGAAATGGATGTGATATGAATACTTTCAGTCTTTCCTATGCGTACTAGTAGAAGCATACTCTGTAAGGAAGGTCCATGCGCAACATACATGATCTCATCGCTCTGGCCCTGGCCCTGGCCCAATCCTTCAGATCGGATACCCCGGGGCCTTATCACGTGAATCACCATACTACCTATATGTAAATCCATAGGGCTCAGACCTAGACTAACCGTTTCCGGTACCATTCTTCAAGTCCTCATGCTATTAATGCCTTAGGCACAAAAAGGCAGCAAGGGATAAAGTTGTATATATGGCATATGTTATTCTTATGTGAGTGAGAACGGTACCATGACAACCTATCAATTGCATATGAGTTTGTTTACTCATTTTGAGTACCTCGCTATTAATGTCCTAATGTATCTATACTCTCATGTTCACTGAGCTTTCAATATGTAGTTATTTCTCGCTACCATAGGGACTAAGGGTTCATACTACTACTTCTATAGAGATAGTACTAGATCTCTCTAACGATGAAGGCTGAATGAATGCCAGACAATAACTGACTGAATACCTGCAGTCATCCTGCAAATATATAATGCATAATATAAATCAACAACCATGAAACCCATCGAACAATAAGTCCCGACCTAACCCGTATCTAGACATCTATCTATATGTAGTATACAACAACAACAACGCCCGAACATGATGACAATCAACAACCCCGAAACAACAGTCCGGAGATATCTTCAATTATGCATTACCAGCACCTAATAATAATGAGCCATCTCCAATCCAGCACGCTTAAACCCACACTTGAGATAGAATCCCTCATTCGCCTCGGAGCAATCGAGAATACTCTGCACAGACACACACACCATTAGCATCAATACCACGCCTCAGAATAGACTTCAAAAAAAAGAGAAGAACATACCTTATAGCACCCCACCTGCGCAGCAACATAATCCAACGCCTGAATAATCCTCAACCCCAGCTTCTTACCCTGCTGACTCTTATCGACGGCAATATCCTCAATATGGCCAACAAGACCCAACTCGTGAATGAACTTGCGCTCAACAATCAAGCTGCCCGTGCCCACGATCCGGTCCTCTCCATCACAGATAACAAGCAGGTAGTATTCATCATTGCGCGACGAGATCCAGTCGTAGCGCTTGTTCCACTGCTCCTCGGTGATGGTGCCCACGGTCGTCAGCACGCGCAGCACATCCAAGTAGCCGCGGTTGTAGTCGGAGCGACGGACGGGGCGGATCTTGTAGCCTTCGGGCAGTTCGGCGGCCACGGAGGGGGAGATGAGGGTCGTGGGGAAGAGGGGGGCGTCGTCCTTGGAGGATTCGGCGGGGGGTTGGGTGAGGGTGGAGGTGTTGGTCATTTTGGCGGTGGTTGGGTTATTCGTCCGTCTTGGACTTTTTTATTAGAAAGAAAGAAGAGGTTTTTGAGGGCGAAGAGGTTTGTTTGTTTGGTGGTTTGGTTAAGGGAGGGCCCCTGGGTAGTGGCGGGGTTCAATTGAGTGAGTGGTGAAAACGGAGGTGGATTGTTGAAACGCTGGAATGAAGGATTTCTTCAGCGAGTGTGTCTGAACGAGAGACGGATGGTTTCCAACGAAGGTGAGTATTTGAAAGGGGAAAGGGATGAGAGAGAAGAAAAAAAAAAGGACAGGTCAGTCGAGTCAGTCGGTCAGTTCGGTCATGGAAAAGAAAGGGCCAGGCGGAGGTAATAAACAAGCAGTAAGAAAGGGCCCACGGTTTGCCTGAAACACCAAACACTTTGGAAATCCGCCCCTGACTACTTACTACTTACGGTTCTTTCCGATTGTATTGGCCAAGCTGATCTACCTTCAAAACCCTGATGGCGCAGCAACTTTACTACATCGTTAGTGTTCCTAATTTAAACACCACTTGACCGGTTCTCAGCAATCCACCGCCAGTCGTTGCTATCCGTGCATCTTGAACTATTCGATCGGCGGGACCGCTTTGGTGGTCCAAAAATAGCACACCCCGGGGTCAGCCCCGTCATCAGCCCGATTAAAAAATATCTATACTCCGTACAGCGAAGAGGATTTTCCAAGTAACAAGTTGAACATGAGAATAGTACAGTAGTATTCCTGAGTATACAAATATCTCCTAGGCAAAAGCTAGTCTTCGCTAGATGACTCCTCCAAGCTAAGCCAAAACATCTCTCCTGCTATACATCTATTTCTTCTCCTTGGGGCTCAGCATCAGCTCGGGGCGGACGTGCTTGTCAAAGTCCTCCTCGCTCAGAGCCTTCAGCTCCATAGCACTCTGCTTCAGAGTAAGGCCCTTCTTGTGGGCGTTCTTGGCGACCTTGGAGGCCATGTCGTAGCCAATGACGGGGTTGAGGCAGGTGACCAGCATCAGACTACACCACCGTTAGCTGTCTTCTTTACACGAATCTGATTTTGGAAGGAAATACATACCTCTCGTGGAGGAGAGAGTTGATGCGGGGCTCGTTGGCCTCCAGACCGTGAACCAGGTTCTTCTCGAAGCTGGTCATGCCATCGGCAAGGATGCGCACGCTGTGCAGCAGGTTGCGGATCATGAGAGGCTTGAACACGTTCAGCTCGAACTGACCGTTCATGCCACCGACGGTGGCAGCGACGTGGTTACCCATGACCTGGGAGCAGACCATGGTAAGGGACTCGCACTGAGTAGGGTTGACCTTGCCGGGCATGATGGAAGAACCGGGCTCGTTCTCGGGGAGGACGAGTTCACCAAGACCGCAGCGGGGACCGGATCCAAGGTAACGGATATCCTGGGCAATCTTGAACAGAGAGCAGGCCAGGGTGTTCAGAGCACCGGAAGCCTCGACAATCGAGTCGTGGGCGGCCAGAACCTCGAACTTGTTGGGGGCGGTCTTGAACTCAGTGCCGGTCAACTTGGTGACCTCAGCAGCAATAGCCTCGTCGAAGCCCTTGAAGGTGTTCAGACCGGTACCGACGGCGGTACCACCCTGAGCCAAGTAGCGGAGATGGGGGATGCTGGTCTCGACACGCTCAATGTTGCGGTCGAGCTGAGCGACGTAGCCGGAGAACTCCTGGCCGAGGGTGAGAGGGGTGGCGTCCTGCAGGTGAGTACGACCGATCTTGATGATCTTGTCGAACTTCTCAACCTTGACCTGGAGAGCATTGCGCAGGCTCCTCAGGGAAGGCAGGAGGGTGTTCTCCAGCTCCAGAACGGCAGCAATGTGCATGGCGGTGGGGAAGGAGTCGTTGGAGGAGGCGGACATGTTGACGTGGTCGTTGGGGTGGACGGGCTTCTTGGAGCCCTTCTCGCCGCCCAGGATCTCAATGGCGCGGTTGGAGATGACCTCGTTGGAGTTCATGTTGGACTGGGTACCGGAACCGGTCTGCCAGACGACGAGAGGGAAGTGGTCCATCAGCTTGCCCTCCGCAACCTCAGCGGCAGCCTGCTTGATGGCCTCACCGATCTTGGGGTCTATTTTCCAAGTGTTAACTTCGCCGAAGCTGTGCTGCCTTGATCGATAGCGGCTTACCGAGGCCGAACTTCATGTTCACTTCAGCAGCAGCACCCTTGAGGATACCGAAAGCCTTGACAACGGGCTCTGGCATGCGGTCCTGGGGCTGGTTGATGTCGAAGTTGCCCAGGGAGCTATTCTCGCACCGGTCAGCGTCTGCTCACTCCTCTGCCGGTCGCATGTCCAGTTTGCAGTATGGCAGCGATTGTTGAGGTCGGGATCTTACCGCTGGGTCTGAGCACCCCAGTACTTGTCCGCGGGGACCTAGAAAAGAGATCCGTTAGCATTTCCAGTCTATGCGCATCGCGTTTATGAGTGTAGCACATACCTCGATCTCACCGAAGGCATCAGTCTCAATGCGGGTAGCCGAAGACTAAAACAATAACCGATTAGCCACGTCTCCCACTGGGAACAGTTCCCCATAGCGAAGTCGTCCGCACGATAGATGCGAATCAATAGAAAGGGTAGAGCATACCATCTTGACGGTGGTACCGAAAGCTCTCTTGCTGGAGGTAGAAGTCAAGGACTGGAGACGGGGGAATTGTTGAACAGGTCGGCTATTGGAGCTCAGAAGACGACGGCAACTGAACGAGGCGGGGGTGAAAGCCACGGCAGTGCGGGCAACTGCGGGGGAAGCCGAAGCTCGAGATGCAGCATGTGTCAAGGAGGCCATCGAGCGCACCGCGGCTCGGGAAGTGTGGGCAGATGTCAACATGACGACCGGCTTTTGGTTCTATTCATCATCACGCGGTTAGTCAGTGTGGCTGACAGGCCAATGGTGCCATTTTGGGGGGACCACAATTCAAATCCTGTTGTGGATATGTGCGGGGTGTTGGTCGTACATTTTCTCTCTAAAATAAACAGAATAAAGGGACAGATCTAATGATATTCCAATTCTACCCAAAACCTGGGGGACGGCAAACAAACCACGCAGAAAAGAAGGGAAGAAGAAGAGCAGCAGCAGCCGCGCATATTTAATCCACCCCAACTGTTTCCGATACCGCCTGCCGAAATCTCCCGGCCCGGTAATGATCAGGACGCCGGTTACCCGTCTGCCACACCTTCGCTGCCCGGCCTGAATTGTATCATACGGTAAGGATTCTCGTCGGATAAACCATGATCCTGCTGTCTCTCCGCATCTCCATCTTCTTGTCTATCTGTACTAGTACTGCACTCCATCTCCGATATCCCTTCAACCGAACCAATTGATTGTTTAAACTGTCAGTTCCCGTTTCATCGCTTCACTAACCTTCTCAATGTATATACGGCCGCTCTCCATGATGCCATCCAACATGGCAAATGTGTGGGGAGCTCCTGCCATACGCATCATCTCCACTCGACAACCGGCAGCTTTCAATTTGGCAGCGTAACCCTCCCCTTCGTCCCGCAGAGGGTCCATTTCGGCGGTGAAGACCAACGCAGGTGCTAGTCCAGAAAAGTCAGGCGCAAACATGGGGGAGATCTTCCAGTCCTATAGTCCACATCAGCATTTTGCAGTTGTGTGCAGCTCTGGCTGCAGCAGTTACACGGGCACTACTCACCTCCTCTGAACGTGCTGGTCGGGGTACCCCCAAGAAGTGACGGTGGAAATAAGCCATCCTTGCGACGGGAAGAGCTGCGGTGAACTCCATCTCTCTGTAGGATTCATAGGGACAGTTCTCCCGATCGAAGTCGCCATCCGGAGTGTAGCCGCTGTGTAGATCACATACGGGCACGTTCAGCACCTGCAGACGCAACGGAATGCCAGCATTACGGCAGAGATGAGCGACCACGGCCGACAGGTGGCCTCCGGCCGAACAACCTCCAACAGCCATTCGATCCGGGTCAACATTGAACTCCTCTGCTTTCTGGGAGCGGATCTGCATGGGATGTCAGTTGGCATTGGTCATACCGGTCAATGTAGACAGGGAATAGTAGCTGACCCAATTGAAAGCGGCCCAGCAGTCGTCGACGGGGATCGGATACTTGTGCTCAGGAGCTAAACGGTAGTCGACATCAAACGCGACTAATTGCCCGTCCAGGCCATCGACGAGTGTCTTGCAGAAGTCATGATCAACTGAGAGATCGCCAAACACCCAGCCTCCCCCATGAAAGTTGACATATGCAGCCCTCTTCTTGGCTTTGCCATGCTCATCCAGTTTTGGGGCAGGCTCGAAGATACGAATGGTTATCTCGCCTCCTTCCACAGGACATTTCTGTTCCGTGATGCGGAAAATATCAGGGCCTTGAGCACGACCGTAGACGATGGCATACTTGGCGGGGTTCTTGCGGAATTCCTCGATAGGAACCTCATGGGTATGTAGCCTCCCAGCATTGTATTTGTTGTAGTGTTCCACGTAGACCGGGTCGAACCGAGGTAGCAACTCCGACGGAATGCTGTTATGAAGCGGTTGGAGAAGGACCCGGGGTCGTAGCTCTCTCAGGGTCTTTTCGTCATTGAGAGCAGGCATAGTGGTGGTGTCAGTCTAATCTATTGCATCCACTAGGGAAGTTGGTTCAAGTTAAGGGTCAGGGAGAGGTCGCTCTGACCATGTCCTCTAGTGAGGGACAGCTAACCCCTCACGACCCCTCATATGCTCGGCTCTCGATCCGTTATCAGGGAGTGGCTCATCTGTACAACCTTATTTCACGTGGAATACAAGCATCAATTGATGCCATCCTCGTCTTTGAGTGTCGGACAGCAGGGAATGACCACTATGATGCCTGGTCTTCTGATGATAGCTTCAATCGTTCTCGCGGAATATCCGCTCGGTTACTTTCGGATCCGACAGCGCTCTGAGCAATAGCCGGGTGTAGCCGTCTACTTGCTATAGCTCCGTCGCTGTCCGTCAATCAATATGACAGTAGCGATTGATAGTCTAATCAGTAGTTAGTAGATGGTTAGTAGGGTAGCATTGGTGGTTAATCATTGTCTCATTGACTACGTAGAATCGACTAACGGTCTATCCCACCCGGCAGCTGACTCGCATAGACAAAGCTAGTATCAATTCATCTGACATGGATCCTGCAAAGACAACAATTACGAACTGCGAGTGCGCTAAGCAATGTGAGGCAGGGACACGAAATCCGGCCCCTCGGAGTTGAAGGAGGATGACACGAGGAAGTGAGAGACAATAATATATCCAACTTCCTCCGTCAGTTACAGCTCCAGGCACAACGCAGGAAGGGTCGCATTCCCAATGTCTGGTTCGACCCACCACTGCGCCTCCTCAGGAACCTTTCAACGAGACAGACTTTGCCGTCATTGCATTTGCCGCATCGTCAGTGGCAAGAAACAAAAGCAAATCTCTTCGATCGACGTAGGCAGTTTGGGGATCGGGGGATTGAAGCAGCAGCGGGTATTTAGTTGTGACGCCAACCCGCACGGCTGGCGTCGCGATGGGCGATATCGGCCAATCCTCGCGGCTTCAATTCTTCATTCCACGCCCTGACTCATTGCTCAGTGCTCACACTGATCCACCTCCTTACTGAATTTAGCATACCCGTTCCTTTTTTTTCCCCCTCCCTCAGTAAATATCCGCTCCTCGTGTTGCATCGCGACTAATAGATCTTATTACGCCCTCCACCCTCTTTGAAATCTTTCCCTCCCTTGCTCCACCTTTTCGCACCGCCGCTTCTCTATCGGAAAATCTTACCGATTGCCCCTCCTCCACCTTATATACCTCTTCAGATCCTTTCCCTCAGATCTGAACTACTGGCTGCAATCACCTGAACACTCTACCAATTCCACTCCCACCACCACCACCATGACTGTCCTCAACCTGACTCCGCTACCGGCGGACGAGATCTTCGCCCTCAACCGCGAATACGCCAACGACACTTTCCCCGACAAAGTCAGTCTTGGTGTCGGTGTCTACCGCACTGACGATGGCAAGCCCTGGCCATTGCCCTCCGTCCGCAAGGCCGAGCAGCAATTGCTCGCCGAAGACAGCCCCTTCCGCCACGAATACACCGCAATTGAAGGCGACATCCCGTTCCTCGAGCTGGCTCGGGACCTGATGTTCGGCTTCGACTCCAAGAACCTGTGTGAGGAGCACAAGGCCCTGAAAGCCCGCATTGGCTCCGTCCAGTCCGTCGCCGGCACTGGCGCCAACCACCTGGGTGCTCTCTTCCTCGCTCACAAGATGAAGCCCAAGACCGTCTGGCTCTCCGACCCCTCCTGGGCCAACCACGTCACCATCTGGGACCTCGTCGGCGTCCCCCGCAAGACCTACCCCTACTACAAGCCCGAGACCCGCTCTTTCGACTTCGAGGGCATGATGTCCACCCTGGAATCCGACGCCCAGGAAGGCGACGTGATCCTTCTGCACGCCTGCGCGCACAACCCCACCGGTCTCGACCCCTCCAAGGAGCAATGGAAGGCCATTGCCGAGATCTGTGAGCGCAAGAAGATCTTCCCTTTCTTCGACTCCGCCTACCAGGGTTTCGCCTCCGGATCCGCCGACGAGGACGCCTGGGCCGTGCGCTACTTCCTCAACGAGAAGCCCCATATGGAGATGTGCGTTGCGCAGTCCTTCTCCAAGAACTTCGGTCTCTACGGCCAGCGTGTCGGCGCTTTCCACTACGTCGTCGCAGAGGGTTCCCAGGACCTCCGCGATCTCGTCGTCAACAACCTCTGCCACTTCATCCGCGGCGAGTTCTCCATGGGTCCTACTGGCGGTTGCTCCATCGTCAAGAAGGTCTTGACCAACGATGCCCTCACCACGCAATGGCACGATGATCTCAAGGTCATGAGCTCCCGTATCAAGGCCATGCGCGCTGCTCTGTACGATGAGCTCGTCCGTCTCGAGACCCCCGGAACCTGGAAGCACATCGTTGAACAGGTACATACCAATCCCTCCCTCACCTTTCCCCAGTCCCACAAACATATATACTAACCATGACAACCCTTCTAGAACGGCATGTTCTCCTACACCGGCCTCACCCCTACCCAGGTCCAAGCCCTGAAGGAGAAATACCACGTCTACCTCATCAAATCCGGCAGAGCTTCCATCAGCGGCCGTAAGCTTTCCCCCCCTACCCCACCCCCAATCTTAATCCCCACACGCACACCCACTAACCCTCTCTCCCCTCTCAACAGTGAGCCAGAAGAACGTCGCCTACGTCGCGAAAGCTTTCGATGACATTGTCCGCAACGTCAAATAAACACATCAACCTTTTCGGCTATTCGGGTAGTCATCTATCCTGCCCGAGTTGCATACACTATTCATAAGTGCTTCAACGCATACCAAAAAGAAAAACAAGAAAAGAAAAGGGGGGAAATATTTCTTTATAGCAGATAGACTTACCTCACCTCACCTCATCTATTTACGAGGTTAACGTACGCCATGAATGATGGGATAACGTACTATATGCGAATGAGAGGACGACGACGATGTACATATATTACATTTCGGGGCATTTTCTTTTTCGGGGTTATTTTATTGCATGCAGCTAGCTAGCATCTAGACTTTATGCGATGATATTAGAGCTAGAATTGATTGGGAATTAATGATACTTGTGCATGGTGCTGTCTATTTGTCTAGTAATTTGCTGTACAAATATTTACTTAATTCTATTATGATAACTTCCTTGATCAGGGCCAATGTGGAAAGGACAGCATACATGTTGTAGAGGCATAGGCATAATGAAGATACAATATAAAATATAGTATAATAAAATAAGAAAGAAACGTAACATACACCGGCCCTGTGACATCATCTTTCCGCCCGTGTTGAAGAAAGGAATATAATAAAATGAACTCGTGTGATGAAGGGTCGTGGTAGGGGTGGGGGAAGAGGGCTAATGTATCGGATATACACTCATGACGCTAGTCAACTTGAATCGTAGATGAAGAAATGAAAAGAGGAAGAGGGGGAGGAGCAGGAGCGGTCGTCTACTACCGGGGGCACGTCATTACAGAGGGACTTCATTAAAGTCCCCTTCTCCTCCCTCCTTTGATTTGCGCTCTTTGGCATTTGATGAGTCGTCCTTCTCTTTCTCTTCCTCTTCTGGCTCTTGCGTGTCCTCTTCGGTCTTCTCTTCCTCGTCCTTGCCCTCACCCTCGCTCTCGCTCTCGTCCTTCTCTGGCGGAGGTGGCGGTGTCTCATGATCGCCATTCTGCTCGGCAGTTTCATCCTCCTTCTCTTCATCCTTCGGAGGTGGAGGGGGCGGCGACTCTGTGCTCTCGTCCGATCCCACCTCCTTCTCTTCCGCGATGGGCTGGCCGGTCATCTCAGCTCCCGGGAACGGTGTAACCGGGGGCTCAAGGTTCTGCTCATCTTCCTGCCCCGTCTGCCGTGAAGGGGTCTGAACCTGCGCAGCTGGGGGTGCCAGGTTCGAGGTGGCGGTGGAAACCGTTCGTTGGTGCTGGGTAGAGCTGTGAATCGGGCCCAGCTGTCTTGCCTTGGGATCAGCATTCAGGTAATACCCACGAACACTGACAATAGTGCCCTCAGCCTCGCAAGCATCTACCCATTCCGGAACAACCACGGGGATGTTCATCTCAACGGCCTTCTCCCAGAGCGGACCCCTCCCCTCGGTACAGACAAAGTGGGTGGTATCAATGCGGACCGAGTCGATCAGCTTTCCACCAATGCGATCCAACGCAGCTGCAAGAGCATCCTTCTGCTGTGGGGGAAGGACGCCCGCCGTCACTGTGATACCGGAGAGATCTGTCATCTTGTGCGTGCGGCAGGTCAACTTCTCCGACTGGTAAGTGCCGGCGGTGGTGCGCAGGACGAGATGGAAGGTGTATTCGGTGTGGATGGCTAGACCGCTAATCTTGGTGCTTCGCGTCTCAAGCGGACGGGGAATGGACCCGGCTTTTGAGCCATTGCGGTACAGGGAGAGCGACTTCAGGGATGCGGTGGCTAGGTCAATAGGGTCCCATTCCAGGACAAGGGAAGTTTGAGTTGCGTTACGGAGACGGAGAACCGGGGGTGTGGGGGTCTTAATGCCATAGGTATTGAGGATGCGTTTTTGGAGCGACTGGAAGTTGGCGGCACTGGCGGATTCGGCTGCGTGGTTGCGCGCGACGGTGATGTCGACGATGCTACCGGACGTGATGTTGTTGGGGAGAAGGACGGAGGGGAACTCGATCTGGGTCGGGTTAGTTAAATGTCAGGGCTACTCGAAGCACAGAGTGGATTATTTGGAGGGGATATTGAGCAGGCTCGTGCGTCAATCGCTCGCTGTAAGTGCGTGGGTATGGAGTTAAACTCACCAGTCTGTTGTCCTGGGTCAAGAGTACGGCGACTCCTGCGTCTACCTTGCCGACTGTCAAGGAGACCAGCATATTGGGAACAGGTAGCGGATTTCAGGGATGGCGCATCAAAGAGAAAACAAATCGTGACGTCTGCCAACGTCGATTCGTGAGTAGGTGGCCTGGGATCCTGAAAGGGAAGGAAGAGTTGATCGCAAGAGGAAAGCGAGGTTGTTGTTGTCTTCTTCAGGCTGAATGAAGATCGGCCGGTAGCGACAGGCGCCAAGGAGGCTCGGCCGCGTGGTCTCTGGCCCGCGATAACTACATGGATGCTTCTTCATTCCATCCAGAGAACTATCCCGTGAAAATGGGATATGGGGAATTTAACAAATCTCCATTCTCCCTTCTTGTTCATCTTATCTTTGTTGAGATATTATGCAAGAATGACAGGAAATAGCTGCATGTCTTGCGTGGCACATCGCAAGGGGGCTAAGTAGTATATTTCCCGTCTGCTCATCCACTGATGTTGTACATATATACAATGACGGACCCGAACCGGTGTCCAGAACCACCCTACTAGTATGAAGGAAATGTTGGCCAAGGCTATAACGATGTCTCATTCCCTTTGTCATCAGGAGCATCCACTGCCTTCTTTTGCTTTTTCGCCGGCTTAGGAGCCACATCTTTCGTCGTCCTCAAATGATTTACCAAAGCACTCACTCCAGCATCCATCTCCTTTCGCAATACCTCGAAAGGCTCCCGCAAAATATCCGCATGAAGCAATAGGTCAACACGCCCCTTCAAATTCTTTCCATTTCCCCCCTTCCCACTAGAGTCTCCTAGCAGTTCCTGCCCTGCTTTTCGACCGTCCGCATCAAACCCATGGTCTTTCAACGCTAGCCGGAATGCCATCCGGGCTCGTCGGCTACACCACGACCGAACCACACGCTTCATCCTCACGGACATCAGATGCGATGGATTTACCATCCACCAGAGTGTGCTTTTGTCGCGGGTGGCATACATGTGTGTGATTTTGGGCTGGAGAGGGTGGACATCTGCGTTTAAGTACCGGGAGGCGACATGGGACGGTTTGTAGTTTGGGAAGTATCGCATTATAAACGATTTGTGACTCCTTAGGGTCTTCATGATGTATGTGTGTTGGAGGCCTCGGAGGCAAGTCAATTGACTCCGTATATAGTACAACAATGATAGAATAGATGGTAGGACGCTAGTTGAATGCTTGGTATATTAGCACTAAGTAGTATGATGCGCCTATCGCCGGATCGGAACAGAAAAAGGCCAGCTCTTCCAGCAGCGAGCGATATGTATCTATCTCAACATATTGTAAGCAACGGAACTGATAAACAATTCACAGGAAGTGGAATACGAACCAAGAATGAGCGCATTCAATTCTCTAGCGAGCCAAAAAGTTATCCCAGCATTCGGGGATGCTTCGGCGGTCCCCTGATTCTGCCACCGGGCGGTGGCTTCATGACGACAATGATTGGCGAACCCCTTGTGGCAAGCCTCAGGCGCAAATCAGGCCGCCACGCCACCCACGCCACCATGGATGACATAAGCCAACGAAAAGCCTCGCAAAACATGAAGCGCCGGCCTCTCGCTTGCCTCCGCCTTCCTCGTCTTTCCCCCCACTTCCACTCTTCTGGTCCTCAGGGACATCTATTTAAATCTCCCCTTACCCGGACATCTCCTATCGCATCGAGTGAAAGACCACCGCGGTTAGCGAGATCCCAATATGCCCAAGAACAAGGGAAAGGTGAGTTCGTGCTGCATCCCACCCGGGTACCCCGCCTTACAGATTTTCGCTTTGTTTTACGCTTGACTCTGGTGCCCACCTCATGCCACCATATCCCACCCCAACAACACATTTCCAGCCAGGAAGATGTGGGATAAGGGAGGCATAGAGGCTGCCATATTAGAGAGCATCGGAGAACGAAGCGAAACTGCGCCACACGTCTATACACATGTCTAGGACAGTTTTTTGCTAACGTATATTTAACCAAACAGGGCGGTAAGAACCGTCGTCGTGGAAAGAACGAGAACGACAACGAGAAGCGTGAGCTCGTCTTCAAGGAAGAAGGTCAGGAGTATGCGCAGGTCGTGAAGATGCTTGGTAACGGCCGTCTCGAAGCCCTTTGCTTCGACGGCGAGAAGCGTCTCGCTCACATCCGTGGCAAGCTCCGCAAGAAGGTCTGGATCAACCAGGGTGACATTATCCTTCTCTCGCTGCGTGACTACCAAGACGAAAAGGGCGACGTCATCATGAAGTACACCGCCGATGAGGCCAGAAGTCTCAAGGCCTACGGCGAGTTGCCCGAACACGCCAAGATCAACGAGACCGACACCTACGGCCACGAGGGCTTCGAGGACAACGTCGAGTTCGACGAGGACCGCGAGAGCGAAGACGAGAAGGAGATCGATGTCGACGAGCTCTAAATGTCCCTTTCAGGGGCACGATCTCATATCCCTGCCGGAGCGACTGGGTTCGGTTCTGTTTTTTCTCGACTCGTCAAAACTCTTTGTTTTCTTCAAAAAACCTTCATGGGAAGAATCTCCCCCGAGTATTCTTCTGAAAGAAGCTGTTACTTGCTTTGAAAGGAAAGAAATCGGACGGCTTGTGCATGCTCTGTGTGTGTGCTAGTCGAGATTTTCCCGTGAAGGTATCTCGAGTAAAGGAATCAGGGCGGCAGCACCTCCCGGCTCCGCATAGGCGCGTTCTGCCTTTGCTGCGCCCGGTGCGGCTCCGTGTAATCCGGGGTATGGATCAGTAACAGGGGTTATGCCGGGGAATTTTCTTTATGATGCTGGATCATCGGTTTTCTGGACATATTCGTGTTCCATCATGAGGGCGTTCTCGGGTTAGCTACAGAAGGATGGCTTACTGCGTACGAGAAGGCTGCACGGTCTGGCGTGTGAGCGATTCTTGTGTTTGCTCCCTGTTTTTTTATTCGCTATTCCTTTTCACTACGCTTCTTCGTTTTCGACAAAACTGGATGATAGATTTATGAAAGGGTCACGAATATGAATATACAACCAACCTATACTCCTTTGTAGAGTTGAGTAGCTTCGTATCTCTAGTTTCTCGTAATATTCGAACATATATACAACCATCATCTCAACTCTCAAACACACTCTTACGAAAGAACCCCACTATCTTCCGAGCCGTCTCTATCCCAACCAACGGATCCAACTGCTCCACGCTCATATTCGCAATCTCATGAATATTCTCCGTCTCCACAATCAACCGCTCAAGGACATTAGGATTAACGCCCGGAACCGCCCGGAGCATATCCTGAGGCAAGAGATTAAAGACCCGATGCTCGATCCCCGCCGCAGCCATAATATCGCCCGAGTGCGATGACGCCGCAATATCCATGTCTAGCCCGGTCTGAACAGCCCGAATCGGATCCGGCTCCGGGTTGTTCTTCTTCAGCTCGGCGAAGATCTCTGCTGTTTGGTAGGGGGAAGAGGACCAGATGATCTTGAGCCGGGGGAAAGTGAGAGTTAGGAGAACGAGTAAGTGTTGGGCGGATTTGGGGCTAGATGGGTTGACGAGGGAGCTGTTTGCGGATAGGGTGCTTGTGCCGGAGGAGGAGAAACCGAAGTCGGTGAGGAAGGTTGTGCCGGGGGTGGTTGCGGAGGCGAAGGCGTCGAAGGTGAAGGATTTGTTTTCATCGAATTCGATAAGAAGAAGGGGGTTCTTGTAGTGTTGGAGCATGGTTTCTGCTTGGTTGTAGAGACGGCCGTTTCGTAAGGAGGATATCAGGTCGCGGACTGATTTGCGTTCTACGCAGATGTCGGGCGTGAGGATGTAGTCGCCCACTGTGAGTTGGCAGGGGACGACGATCATGTTGTTGCCATGTAGGAGGGATGGAAGGGCGCTTCTGAACTCGCGTACATCTATCACGACTCGGGGTGGTGATGCTGTTGCGGCTAGTCGGCCGCCTCCTGCGATACGGGTGTTCACGGTGCGAAGGAACTGTTCTTGAGGGTCTACTTGACTCTTGTCATGCGTGATGGTGACGGCCATGTTCTGTTGTCTCGGATTAGTGGAAGGAGGGAATGACAGGAAAGGAATCTTACACTTTTCTCTTTGATGAGCTTTGTGAACGAGTCTTTCTCTCGCCGTACGGCGCTCAAGTAGCGCTGTTCTTCAACAGATCCCCCGTAGTAGATGAAATAAACGCGTACGTCCCTCCCAACATGGGAGCTGCGGTAGACCTCCACTCGTCGAATGAATGCAGGGTCTGGCTCGTACATGATGATGTACCGAGGCCGAACCTCTTCCAGAATATGCTCATCCATATCACCGTCGTAAGGGTGTATGATAACCAAGTCATCCATATCGTACAATTCGTAGTAATCGTCCATATCTTCCAAATCATCGACGATAACCTCCTCTTTTTGGGTCTCTTCTACCTCAGTAGGCTGAATTTCATCTAGGAGTGCCGACACTTGGGCCGGAGGTTCAATATCTACTTGGATACCGCTGTTGGGCGCGCGTGCTGGGACGGATGGAGTGCCTCCTCCTCGGACGCGGCGCCGCTTGTTCATTGGGGCTCTTCCTTGGTTTAGAGAACCAGGTGAATTCACCGCAGGCGACTGGGAACCGTCACCCGCGGGATTTGACGAAAAGTTCTTGCTAACATTAGACAAGGATAACTTCCAGTCCATATAATCCCGCAGCCTTCGGCGCATCATGACTTCAGCGGAACCCTTCTTCTCGTGGATGGCATCACCTGGATCCGATGTATCCCTTGTCTCCTGCTTCTTGCTACTCACGTTGGCATGCATCGTGCCCATGTACTCGCGAAGTTGCCGACAGGTCCGTTGGTCACTGCACATGATCAAGACAGTACTGTTGGACTCGTCCACGTTGACTGGATTGAGATATGCGTCCGTTTCGATTTCTTGCAGGACCTCCGCTACGACTTCCCATTTTGGCTGTTCTTCCAGAACGGGCTGGAGTGTGGTAGGTAGAGATGTGGACGATGAGCGGACTACATCGTTGCTGATTCTCCCCTGATATACTCTTGATCTCGCGGTCTGAAACAGCACATCGGCTGCGTCGAGGAACAGCCATGGTGAATAGCTATGTTTCGTGGACCCAGGAGGCGGAGTATGTGCTGTGACAATCGTATCAAGATATTTGAGGAACGAGACGGCGTCATAGGTGAGCAAAGCACTAGTGTTCAGGTCAATTCATGAAGCACAGCATAAAGATGGGTGGTCGCACTGGAGAATTGCCCGAAGGTCTGATAAGTCACTGACGATCTGTCTGGTCCGGAAGCTCACACGGTGCCATATGGGATCCAGCTGGCGCCTAATTGCAATATCAAAAGACCTATGTAAAGCACTGTCGAGTGTCCAGTCTGCCATGTCAAGTCCCGTGTTTGCTTTCTTTAGCTCTCCTATACAAATCTCCACGCACTCAAGGACGGCGTTCTGTATCTCGCGCATCTTATCACTCATCGGGACTTCAAGTTCGATCACCTCCGCTTTTCTGTGGCCCTCGAGAGCCTCCGCAACGGTGACATGGAAGCGTGGCCATAAAGAAGTCTTGCGAAGGAAGAGGTTGCGCAGGGAATTCGCCAAAGGGGCAAATCCGGTCGTGAATGGTTCCGGGGAGTCGGAGAAGGCCTTTAGGAATCCACGTTTGTTGTGTTCTCGATATGCCCGGATAACGAATGCTTCAATGGACGTTGCCACAATCCTGCCTGTCCTTAGTATGTCCTCTCTAGGAGCACCGATATGGTTGCTTACTTATCAGCATGAAGCACGACCATACCAGTGACCTTCTCAGGGTCGAGCAGCTCTAGACAGCGGGTTAGGAGGGTCAACCGTCGCAAAACAGCAGTGGGGTTGTCACTAACTCGACAGAAAGTCAACTATTAGTATCCTGGATGTTACACTCAGGATACCACCTTCGGAGTAGATCTTCTCGCTGGACTGGCATTAACATAGAAGGTCATGATTCATGCATGAGGACATACCGCATCGGAACCGTGGCCCTGTCCGTATTGATCACCTTGAGGCCCCTGGCAAGAGGGGTTTTGCTGATAGCATAGTGCTCAGCCAATGCTGGAACAGAGATCAGCATCATTGTGCTTCAACTTAGCCCACCAGTAAACTGTCCGAGTCGCAGCAACGTACCTTCTCCAATCCATTCATTTTCGCGGTCATCTGCGCCAACAACAAGCACCAAATTGTTTCCTGCAGCATCATAAAAATGTAGCAAATTCGTCACCAGGCGTAAGAGGCCAAGGCCCCGAGCAAGGATCACCAACTCATCCTCCGAGCGCAGTTCGGTGAAGATGTCCTGCTGGTATTGCTGGAATTGATTCTGTCAGCAATCCCATAGATGTCCTGCGTTAAGCACACAATGTAGAACCGTAAAGTACTCACCAAGGGCAAGGACAGCTTCACCGGTACATTGGGGCGTTCAGGTGGCATGAGGAGCCTCTTGACGCGAGGAAGTCATCTTCCTTCGCGATGAGAGCGACCAAAGCGAGCGCGTGATCACGTGGGGTATGATGTAATGACGCTTTTTGGAGCAGCAGCAGCAACCACTTCTGCGTGGCACAAGTTACGGAGAGCGATTCTTTGTGCAGGAAACAGGGAGTTTTATCATAATTATCCCAAATATGTATGCCAGTAAGTGTGGAGTTGAAATCATGAAATCTCCAAGAATGTGTATTGGAACAACATGATAGTATAAAATCTTAGCCATTTATATTCGGGCGATTACTAGTACAAGTTATGAAAACCGGAGCACAGGCATAACATCATTGATTTAACATTGCTTCATAAAAGTACAGCGACCGTACGCTCCAAGTAATATTGTAGGATTTGTTCCCTTACTTATTCAGTTCCTTCATGCGTGCCTCGATCTCTTCCCTGGGGACTTTGGGTGGCATGCCTATATACTAATTTAGTGAACCGCCATAATGTGGAGGGGTTGTGGGGATAAAAGCACAACGCTGACTTACTGTCGGGGATTTGAGGACCCTTGGACAAGTGATCAAGCATGGTGGCTTTCTGAGTTCCCTGATCGGAGTTCCTCTGCTCTTGGTTTCGAGCGTTGTTATCGCTGTTGCCTTGTTGGGGTGGGAAATCAGAACCCGAGGGGATGACAGGCATAGTGATGAGTAACTAATCAACAGTCGTAGGTATTGAGTACGGGAGGAAGAAACAGTAGAATTATGCTGCTGATAAGAAGAGTGCAGGCGAGTGATAGCAGCGAGGATAGTGATCGGGGAAGGTAAGCTTTCTATATTCTTAAGTAGTTCTTTTGAGTTGCAGCACATGCGATGACGTCGGTTGGGCTGAAAGTACCACCATAAGTACTAGTAAGAAGCGCGCCATTGAGGCAATGCAGTCATTTCTTCATTCACATGGTTGGTGGTGATCCGGTAAGATCAACTAATAAGATGCTGTCAAAAGCGATTCCCTTGGATCTTGCATGTCTGCCTAATCCAGGAATGCCATCATGGTTATTATATGGGTCGTAGGCAGACACCCTTGTTGGTCTTTCGATGATGCCGCACGAGATCATTGTGGAATGGGGAAAATGTGAGACTTTCTGCTTAAGAAGTACAATCCTTGAGTCAATCAACTTCGCATGTTCTCGTGCTTCATATCATTACCAACACTTGAACAGAACAATCATTCATAACTCGGGGGACTGTCAGAGTTGTAGTGCTGAGTGAGCGACAGCTGCTTCCAGAGACGTCGGGATCCCCACCGCGACGTTAGTGGCCTTTAGTGGCTCTCCGTCGCTCTCTCCCGCCAACGCTCCTCTTCCGGCTACTTGACCTCTTCTCCCTCCTCCCCTCCCCCAAAGCCAGACTTACTCGGCCACCAATCCTACACCCTTACGGCCTTTCTGTTCTAGATAGAGCCTAACTAGTATTCAGTCCTTTCTTTCGCGTCCTTAGGGCTGCCCTCCAGTCACCCATCTACCCCACAAATCCTGGGAATTCCGAACTACCCCCCTTTGTCTCAGACACACCCGTTGTTGCCGCGCCGTATCAGCTCTTATCCGTGCCTGAGGAGCAACCACCCTCTGGTACTTCGGGCTCACCAAGTTACACCAGACACCCTGCAATGCGCCTCCAGCAGGCGATCTAATTACTTCTACCTCATCGGTCATAACCCCCAAGCTACTAACACAGTGTCTTCGCGTGTCGATCCTTCGTTATGCCTTCAATCCTGAACGATAACGACAAGGAAACAGTCAGGAGAACTGTACCAAAGCCTGACAACAAAATTCTAGCGGTGGCCGTTGCGCGCCTCTACGTGGCTCACCCAGACACCCAGAGATGGACGTACACTGGTCTGCAGGGAGCTGCAGTCCTAGCAAATGACCTGGTCGGCCGTACTTTTTGGCTGAAATTGGTGGACGTATCGGTGAGCACAGCCTGGTAAATCATGCATTGTGACAGTTACTGACAAAAGACATCGTGCTGTGCCTTAGCCTGCCAATAGGGGAGTCATTTGGGACCAAGAGATCTACGACAACTTCGCCTACAACCAAGATCGCACGTTCTTCCACTCCTTCGAACTAGAAGACTGTCCCGCCGGACTGTCGTTCGCCGACGAGAAAGAGGCCAAGACATTCATCAAGAAAGTACAGGAGCGAGAAAAGCATGCGAGCAAAGAGACACGGCAGACGCCCTTTGCATCTACCCGAGGCCAGGGCCCTGCTCCGGTGGTCAACGGCAAATCCGGGGTTGGACGGTCGCTGTTTGGCAGCTTACTCGGCCATCGCTCGTCATCAGGATCTCATGTACCCCCGCCGGTGACACCTGCGGAACTGCCTCCTGCTCCATCGATCCAAGTAGCTCCTCCGCCTCCCCCTTCAGCCAGCCCATCACGCAAGGAACTGCCGTTCGACACCAATGACCCCGCATTCAAGGGCGTACTGGACGAGCTCGTACAAATGGGCATTAACGAAGACATGATCGCGGAAAACTTCGATTTTATCAAGTCTTATATCGAACAGAAACAAGCATCAACGCCCAGCCCGCCTTCTGCTGATGATCAAAGGAAAGGCAAGGCGCCGCCTCCACCTCCCCCGTCTGCGCCGCCTGCTCCGAAGGTGGCTGCCATCAGCCCACAGAACACTGGCAACAGCACAGGGAGTCGACGAGGTGCTCCGCCGCCCCCTCCCCCGACGCGGAGGACTCGAATGGATACGACGGATGACGAGCCTGCCTCGAAACGTGAACCGTCTCCTCCCAGGAATCGGTTTCGTGCGCCGCCTCCGATTGCGGATGCTGGTAAATTTGCTCACACACCATTGCCGCCTACTCGCCAACGGGCCTCGTCGAATGCTACACCCGGTCCTCCACCTCCTCCACGGCCCCCAAAGACTCCAATGGATGAGAACCAGTCCCGCTTTGGCGTTCCCCCGCCGTTCCAGGGCGAGCGCAAGGTGTCTGCCCCTCCCGCACCTCCCAGTCGGCCAGGGCCTTCAGGGCCACCCCCTCCTCCTCCACGCACTATGAGCCCTGCAGCACCTCCACAGCTACCTCCCAAAGTTCCCAATGCCTCTGCAGCAGGGCCTCCACCTCCGCCGCCCAGAAGTCCTTTGCAGCCGCCGCCCCCACCTGTGCCTTCCGCTTCCCGGCCTATTCCTCCTCCCCCTACGTCAAGCGTGCCGCCTCCTCCACCCCCGCCTCCTACGTCGAGTGTCCCCCCTCCGCCTCGTCCTCCGCCAGTTTCAAGTGCTCCTCCCCCGCCTCCACCCCCACCATCGCATCCTTCGCCTAGCGCCGGACCTCCCGCGCCGCCTCCGCCCCCACCGCCACCTACCAGCTCGGTCCCACCTCCACCCCCTCCGCCTCCGCCAGCACCAGGAAGTTCAATCCCACCACCACCTCCTCCTCCACCGCCAGGAGCTGGTGCTCCTCCTCCGCCGCCCCCGCCTCCTGGAGCTGGTGCGCCTCCGCCGCCGCCTCCTCCAGGTGGAGCTGCTCCTCCCTTACCCAAACCCGAAGGTGGTAGGAATGACCTCATGGCTGCTATCCGGGCATCTGGAGGAAAGGGCGGCGGTGGTCTGCGGAAGGTCAAGGATACCGAGAAGCGTGACCGGAGTGGAGCCGCCGTGCCTGGCTCAGCCAGCGAATCGTCCGCGCCGACCCCAAGTGGTGGTGCTGCTCAAGGAGGCCTGGCAGGTGCTCTGCAAGACGCTCTGGCGAAGAGAAAGCAGAAGGTCAGCGGTAGTGGTAAGTAGACACCCCCGAATGGTCAGTAATACGCGTACTAATGTGGACGATAGATGACGAAAAGGAGGACGATGACGATTGGTGAGCCTTGCTTGAAGGTACTCTCTCATTTTTCCTAAAATCAATGTTGTTGCCGTGGTTTAGACTTGTTGGATTTTGTGTGATACCTCCGTCGTGCAGCCTCTATATCCTTTCCTGTTCTTAGCATATATTCCCATCCGGTGCGTGGAGGTGAATGTCTGGTTTTTCTTTCTAGTCAGCATTTCCTGCAGGTGATCAAAAGTATGCACTGGAGATTGGAGCTGTCTGACAGCGGGTCCTTTCCGTAGTCTCATGAATGGAAACACAATGCTTGTGTATTTTGGGAACTTGGACCTCAGACGCTAGTAGGTCATTATTACAAGATGACTGTTCTCATTTGTATGGACATTTCCCAGCGTAGTCCACCCTATTGACAGTAAATAACAAGAGGCGATCAACATCCTGGTATTGACTACACTCATTCTCATGGCTCTAGACTTGACCATTTGGTCTGGTACCTTGCTAATGCAATGCCTGGTGGGGCATCCCTGCGGCTCAAAGAAAGTAACCAATGGTTCGGGCTTTTGGCATTTCCGATCTGGTGCCAAAGTGGGGCCTTCTAGAAAACAACCAAGCTCAATTAGGTAAGCTTCATGTGACAATTGTCGAAATGGAGACTCACTTTGTAGACTCGGCACGTAGTCTACCACTGTTGTGTGTATCTTATAGCAAGTGGAACAGGGAATATATAATTTAGTCAACGAGGGGAGGATTTTATGTTAGTAGCGAGACTGGCTGTGAAATGTGACGAAGAACGAGTAGGTTCGTGTTCAGTAGTTATGCCCTGTGTAAAATCGCTCGAATGAGACCCGCAAAGAAAAGGGTCTTTAACTAGTCATTGATATTTGCAACTAGAAAACGCAACCTTTTCTGAGAGTATTTCTTGAAGAGCTTTGTCATTTCTGGTATGAGCTCTGCCGATCATCCTCGTAAGGTCGTATACGGCTTCACCATACTGTAGACCAAGATTATCCGATGGACATCAAAACTGTGCGTGCCGCAGTAATGTATTGCTAGCAAAGTGGTATACTAAGAGTCAGCCATAATGTCCACCATACACTTTCCCAAGATAAAGTGATCAAACAATCATGGGAAAAGCGAGGGAATATACTGTTGAGTCCGGACCATTCAGTGCTGCCGGATTATCGTTGGTCCGAGCGGCGCAACTTGGATGCGGGAAAAAAGATGGGCGATGATATGGTTTGTTTTGCATCCAGATGAGTGCTGGTCGTCAATCTGGTCGGTGAAGCCATAGTACAAGGCAGAGATGCTGTCTCCGTCGTCTATGAAGCCTTCCGCTCCATCAGCATCTCTTCTTCGGTTTCTGCGATCACAATCCGATTCCTTTTTCTTCACAGCCAACCCAACTACTTGCGGACGATCTCTCAATAATGATCCCCGGTCTCATCATCAGCATCACGCCTTCTCGCTAAGCAGGACGTCGGACTGGACAAATATAAACCCTGCACCATGCCGTGCGAGCCTAGAATCATGCCTCTTTCCGTTACCGGGCCTTTCGTCTAGAACTCGCGGTACTGTACGATGTCGGGCGTCGCTGGCTCAACGCTCTTCACCGAGTCCGTTTTCCCTCCCTAATGCGCAGTTTTCACGCGCTTCATCCACCAAGAGCAAGAGCTTGTGGCGTAGGCTCTTCGACTTCAAGCGAAACAAAGCTGCCGAATCCAAATCATATCTCCGCCAGCCACCTGCATTGATCAATGACGGAACAGAGGGAAGCTTCAATATTGGCCGCGGATTAGTGGCAAAGGCATCTAATGAGCCGCGCCTTCGATGTACCGAGTTTGACAGCACCGGAAATGTTACTCTTGTAAATGGCGAATTCAAGAAGAGTGAGCTGATTGCCAAGGTCAGTATTGGCGGCTCTGCGAATTGTTTCATAACTCAAGAAGCGACACAAGACTGATATCAAGAATAGTATGGTCTCCTACCTCGGGACTTGCGAAAAATCGACTCGTCTACACTGCCTCATATCCTAGTGCGACCGCGTGCCATTCTTATCAACCTCCTACACCTTCGAGTCTTGATCAAGGCTGACCGCGTTCTCGTTTTCGATGCGTACGGATCCACGGACTCATACATGCAATCGCTATTTGTGTATGATCTCGAAGGAAAGCTACAACAGAAACAAGGACAGACTACGGGTGCATTGCCTTACGAATTCCGAGCGCTGGAAGCGGTCTTGATCAGTGTCACAAGTGGTCTGGAGGAGGAATTCAATGGTGTTAGAGATCCGGTCGTGAGCGTGCTTAGAGCTCTGGAAGAGGACATCGACCGCGACAAGCTCCGACATCTGCTTATTTACTCCAAGAAGCTCGGCACGTTCGAACAAAAGGCTCGCCTCGTGCGTGATGCGATCGACGACCTGCTGGAGGCAGACGACGACTTGGCCGCAATGTATCTTACTGAGAACTCGCAGGGTGTCCGACGCGAGGAACACGAACATCAAGAAGTCGAGATGCTACTGGAGTCGTACCACAAAGTTTGCGACGAAATTGTGCAGGCCAGCGGTAACTTGGTGACCGGAATTCGCAATACCGAGGAAGTGTAAGTCATCCTTAGTGTCTCAGGTGATTGCTCTGTAAACTGGATACTGACCTAATCACAGCGTTAAAGCAATCCTGGACGCCAATCGCAACTCCCTCATGCTTCTCGACCTCAAATTCAGCATTGGAACTCTCGGACTCGCAACCGGAACCCTGTTCTCCGCACTTTACGGCATGAACTTGAAGAACTTCATCGAAGAATCAGACTTGGGATTTGGCGCTGTGTCCGTCACATGCTTTGCCATCACAATCGTTGTTTGTGCTTATGGGCTCGCCAAACTGCGCAAGCTTCAGCGTGTCCGCATGTGGGGCGAATCTGGCGTCGGCGGCGCATCCATGGTCTCCCTGCCTACCAGAGGTGGTGCACTAGCCAGCCACCGGCCAAATTGGCGCGCGGATACCGTTGAGCCTGTTTGGGGTAGTCTTCCCGGTGAAGGGCGTGTGGAGAGGATCAAGCGTATTAAAGACAATGCAGCTGCAGCTGCAGCCCGATCTGCGACCTTGAAGGCTGCTAATGTGCCCCCAACGTCGTCTGGAGACGCTACCAAGCAGTCAGAAAGTTCTTAAATCACATCTTTATGCACCGAACAAACAGTGGGAGCTCACAGAGCATGGCCGCTGTCAAAATTGACCCACTCTCTGCTCTACCCCATCTAATCCTGTCCTGACCATCATCCATGCAGTGGTTCTATGGCTCAGGCAGGATTCTCCTGGAAGTTGAGCACGATGTTTTATCCGCTAGAGCTTATAGAATCGCATGGCAGGAGTTCGGCTTGCGGATTGAATTTTGATATTGTCTTATTTTGGGGACTATTTTCTTCAGCTAGTACTGTCCTTCGCTTCATGGGAGGGTCTGTATCTAGCTTGGTATACATACCACACTCAACTCACTCACGGGTTTCTTCATTTCATGGGAGCTAAATGTGCTCTGTAATGTGTCTATAGACGATAGATGTCGAGCCAGACACCGACAATGTTACATACATATGTACATTAACAACAATCAACATCATCATCATGTCCTTTCTCTTCCATGTACATACACAAAATCTCATTTTAATGTGCTTTTTCCAAGTAACAGTTTGCGGGGTATCTCATCTCCAAACATACATCCTATCTATACTTTTCACAACACAACAAGCATATTCAATGCCCACCCTGCTTCCCCATCCCAGACCCCTTATTCAACCCCTTCGCCCTCTCAATCCAGATCTTTCCAGCAGCCTCAACGCCCCCCTCACGCGAACACTCCCTCCGTACAGCATCCATAACCCGCTCCAAGACCTCCTCTCCATTACTATCATCATCACCATCACCACCATCAGCAGCAGCAGACCCACTCGCTCTCTCCTTCCACACCTGCGTCGTCCGCCTCCTGCCCCCAATAACAGCCATATTCCTCGTACTCGGAATGCGCAACAGGGTCCGCTCAACCTCGTACCCAATTTCCTCCGCCACACTCATCGTCTTCGCAGTCAACGAGCCATACATGGACTTGAGGAACCCTGCTTCCATAGTCTGAGCATCCTGTTTCTCCTTCCGGAGGGATTTGAGGTCTCCTGATGATGGATTACCCTCTTCTTCCCCTCCTTTATCTTCCTCGTTTGATTTACTCTTCTTGCCCGCCTTGGGAGGCGGATACCGGAACCTCGCACCAGAAAGTGAATGCGAGCAGCACGGGATAGCAATAAAGGGTGATGGCGACTCGGGACAAAGAAGCGTAGCCATGAGGGGCGTCCAGACCGTGAGCTCATCTGCGTGGTTGGAGATAATGAATGTGTCCTTTGGGAAGGACCCCGTGTGGGATTTTATCGTCAGCTCTTGGAGCAGAGAAGGGTTCGTTTCGGAGAATGGTTTGGGAATGTAGATTTCCTCTGTGAGTCGTGATTGCACGGACTCTGGGAATATACTCCATGTTTTGCGTCGGCGGGCGTCGAAGCCAAAGCCTTTGTAGCCTTCCATGAGTAGGACGTACACGAGGACGCCGTTGCCGCAAGCTACGTCGACGAAGCCGGGGAAGGTAGAGGAGGAGGAGGATGTGGTGGTGGTGGTGGTGGTGGTGGAGGCTTGCTCGTCTGCTGGGACGGCGCCGTACATGCTTCTCCAGAGTTCGATGAGGAATGCGGTGATTGAGAGGTCCTCGAAGACGTGCTTCGAGGGTTCGGTGCTCTCGACCCATTTTTGGCACAGCTCGGCGGCGTATTTTGCTTTCAGCCGTGTGTACGTGTTCTGCACCAGGTGCTGCGGGATCACGTTGTCTTTGGCTGGGTTTTGGCTGCCGCCGCCGCCATTGTCTGGTTTGCCGGTTAGACGGGTGCCGCGGGCGAGGCGGATTTGGATGGTCAGGAGGGCTTGTAGGGTGCGCTCTAGACGGTTTTGGATGGGTTCGTTGGGGAAGAGGAGGAAGTGGATGGACATGGTACCGGGGTTGGGGGAGGGGTCTGATGTGTTGGTGGTGGTGTTGTAGTCGTATAGGAAGGCTAGGGAACGGAGGAGAGGGTGGTAGAAGGGCATGTCTTCTTTGGAGGTGATGTGGGGTGTGTAGACAGCGAGGTATCGGTTGATAGATCCCTCGCTTGTGTCTGTGGACTCGTTGATGTGTTCGTAGAAGTGACATGTTTGGTCCATGACCCGGTCTAGGTTTGGGTTTCTGGGAATGAGTCTCCTCACTACCGTTCTGGTGAGAGTGAAATCGGGGATTTCTCTTGCGGCCGTGGGTTCCACGTGCTCCTCGGTGGTCTCCAGGTTGCTGTTCCCATTCTGAGCGAAGGACTGCTCTTTCTGCTGCGGTGTCCGCAGTGAACCCCAGCTGTCGAAGAGGATGTCTGCCCGGTATAGATGGGTAGAGCTCATGTTGGGGTTGGCCAGGAGAAAGAGGGTCATATCTTGGATGACTTCTGGTTTGAATGGGAGACCACACTCAGCCAGGTCTTCAGATGTGACCCATTCTTCGGTGCTGCTTGCCAGTACTGAAGAGGGCTCGAGAGTCTCAGCAAGTGGTTTGCCGGAGAGACGGGTCAAGTCTCGCGGATTCTTTCTTTTGTTTCCAGTCATTGTCTTGGAGTTGAGGGGTATATATGGCTATGAATAGTGTGATTGGCTGACTCAAATATACTGCCTCTTGTCACAGATGCAGATGACTGTCTCTATATCCACTCTAGTAGAAGTGTGTCTTTTTTACAAGAGAACGATATTCATCTTGAAGAATTCTGCCATTGGTCTCCGGTTAGTCAGTGGATTCATTGCGGGGGAAATGGCAGAGACCTTGATTTATTTACTGTGAAGTGCTCTTGTATAGGTGCTGATGTGTGAAGTGCCTCTAGTACATGCAATTTCAGACACCAACAGATGCCCCTCAGTGGTATACTTTTTGATGTCGAATTCCCCTCCATCGCGTGCAGACATAATATTAGTCATCGAATACTATGCATCATGTGACAATACTTGGTGCCCATGCCATCTACTATACGTATCTCCACGAAGCATTGCTTTTGGGTCAGCTTAGATAGCTACTGCCATGTCGCCAAAGGGGACTGGTCAAGAAGGACGACCCTTTTCGCGCTAAATTAGAGGGTTATCTTCAATCTCTGGCCTACCTCCATCCTTTCATTGACGCCTCGCATGTTTAGGCAGATTATGCAGTAGGCAACAGAACCAATGGACTGACTATTGTACTATCAATGCAGCCTAATTATGAGAGCTGATCAACTCGGACTAATCCTAGCCTACTGCTAGTTAGTTAGAATTTAGGGGCCCTTGCTGACCTGAAGTTAGTGGACAGATAACGCGCCGTTCCTCACGGGGATGAGATTTGAGAGCTTTCCATCTACACCTGCTCATCTTTGCTTTTTTTATTCTCCGGTCGCCTTTTTCTGGCTCCTCGTGTCTGCATGTACTATGTAGGTACGGCATGCATAGTTTCGCACCCGCCGATTGAGTTATTGATAAGTTAGACCTTGGGATGTCCTGCAGCGCCGAAAATCCTCGTATGGGCGGCCGAAAGAGGCCCGGAAATGCAGGCATCGGTTTGCCTTTCACGTACATCCGCTGAGTCAGTGGGCAGCCGCTGTTTGCATCGAGGCTCCACTTTGCGCTTTTCTTGCCATCCCGGCTTCCGCATATTATTTGTCTCTTAGACCTTCCTCGAATTGATTGCTTTTATTTGCTTTCTTCTTGATACGGAATCGATGGATGCAGGTTGTGGACGCCTTCGTTGCCCCCCCCTCCCCTCCTCCCAAATATACCTGGTCGCTTGCCTCGCCATAGGACTGATTGACGTCCTGCCCGCTCTCAATGTCCGAATGTGAAGCTCGTTCGGACTTACGGAGATATACCACGTACTCCGTTAGGTGGGCCGAAATGGACCTACTACCCAGAAAGTTGCTACTACCATGTGTCTCCGTACTGTGCTTGCTAAGCAGCACATCAACCTTGCTTAGCATACCCCGTGTCGAAAATCCTGCTCATCGAGTGGGTGAGCATCGTGCAGAGACCGACGATCATCACGGCCTTTATGTCTTGCGGGGCCTCGACGGAGATTGACATGACCATGACGTTTACAAAGTATATGCTCGCACTAATTGACTAGACTTCAGGTAGTGGGCACTGCCTATCAGGCTACAAAGTACTATTGTATCTTACGATTGCCTTCGCCTATATTACTCCTTATGCACGAAGGATTCGGATGACAAGTAGGATTTTATCAATGCTTTTTACTTAGGGACATCCACAAAATTGGGTATGCCTTTGTCCCCTGGATGAACAGGCTCTCATCGAATCAAATCTGGGGTGACCAATTCTGACACGGCAGTTCTTGAGACTGGTGGGTTCAAAAACGCTAGATGTTTGATGTTACCTCGCACATGTTTCCCATGTTGCTCGTGTTCAAACCCGCAGGGAACGTGACACACCAGAGCCGATCGCCGCAAAAAGAAAGTTCCCAGAGATGAACAGGACAAGAGCAGGCCATTCGTGTCAACACGCACCACCGCACTAACCGCTTGCTACATTAGCTTGTTCTCAACGAACCATTGCTTTAGCCTCTACGCTCCAGAGGCAATGCGCGCAGTAGCGGCATAACGACTAATATAGCGGCCATTTCTAAGGGGCCGACAGAGAAAGGTGCTAGATCGCTAGGCGACCAACCGTCAGAGACTAGACGTGCGCGACTCCGATATATTGTAGACTAGGCTACGGACTGGCGTTTTCTTGGCGATAACAAACTACATACTGAGCAGTTTGGATACTCAGACATCTTAGACCCTTGGAAGCTTTAGCATGACTCCGCACAATAATGGGGCCATCCGGCGCCCACTTGACTGTACCGTGAACAGTACAAGTACAGTAATGTTCGCGATGCGCCTGGCTGGATCTCCGCCACTGAGCCAAGATCACAGATGCAAGGTTGAATGAAACTGCCCCCGCGTACAGCCTCGGGAATGCCGAGTGGCTGTTTCCGGTCAAATTTTCAAGATGAGGGGGCCGTGGCTACTTACATGGTTACATCTGTCGCGGGTAGGCCCCATAGGTGTTTCTCCTCTTGACCCTTCTGATCTTGCATTGTGCGT